AACGATGATCCACGGCTTCTACCTCCAGTGCATGGGCCAAGGCGTCTTTAAACGTGTCGTGGTGCCCGAGTCTCACAGCAGCTCTGACTTCTAGGTCGCGGATGCCGTCGATGAATGTCTGAACCAGGTTCCCTTCAATGAGCGCAGGTACAGACTGGTATGCTTTGCGAACCATCTTCTCCACCTCTAGAGCCCACTGCTGCAGGTTTTCGTTGATGCGCTGCACGCGATCTTTAAGCTGCGCACGAAAGACGTGTTCCAGGTGAGCGTCGCCATATCTCGCCTCCAAGGCCTCAAGGAGCTGCTCGTAGGTCACTTTCTTACCGAGAGCTTCCAACACAGTTAAGGCTTGGTCGCGCAGGCCTAGGGTGAGTGCAGTCATGGCTTGGCTTTTATTCCAGCCGTTCGCCTCCATGACGGCCTCGAACTGGATTTTGTAGGCCGACCAGGAAGAGGTCCCGTCGAACGGCGGCACTTTGAATCCACGTAGCGAAGGTGTTGTAGCTACTACGGGAGCTGTTGTTCCATCCCCAAGCTTGAGGTCATCCAGCGTTTTCTTCACGTCAGCCATTACGTTGTCAACCCGATTGTTTACTTGGTCGATTCGGGTTTCAGCTTCCGACAGGCGGTTGTCATGTTGAGCAACCTTATCCTTCACCTCCCGTATCTCTTTTCTGAAGATAGCGTGAAGGTCCTTCATGAGGAGCATCTGCTCTTCCTTATCGCGTTGGAGTTGCTCTTCTAAACGACGGGCCTGTTCCTCCTGGCGAGGGGCCTGTTCCTCCTGTCCGCCCCGCAGCTGCTGGGCTGTTCTCTGTCGCCCCGCAGCTGCTCTTCCAAACGACGGACCTGTTCCTCCTGTCGGCGGGCCTGTTCCTCCTGTCGGCGAGCCTGCTCCTGCAGCATCACACTCAGAGCACCTAGGTCAGATGCTGCAGATGTAGGAGCTACTGACGGGCCTGCAGCCGGCGGCTGGCCCTCCGACGTCTGCGGCGTTGCACCACCAAATCTTCTTTGGTCCGTCTCCTGCTGGCGTTGACTTCGGGTACGGACACCCTCCGTTTTCTCCTTAGGTAAAATCGGCGTGATTTTATCCCACTTCTGACACCAATTGTAACGAGCTTGAGGTTCGTGACAATAAAAATTGCCGATAAAATTACCTAAATTAACACTTTAATTTTCTTTACACAAATTAAATCTTAAAACACTAATAATTAATCACACTAATTCACTTTATTTCGCTCCGAAGCTTGCTTGTCTCTCCGAATTCAATACTTCCCCGATCGCATCTTGCAGCGCCTATTTATATAAATTAGCACGGAAATATCCAGAATATTCAAGTAAACACGCGCAAGGTACCGAGAGTTCGAGTTTCAACTTCAAGAAGTTCAGTACTTCGGTTCGGGACTAGATGGCGCTAGTGCCGTCGACTAAGGCGCGTAACAATAGTTACCCTAGTGCTGTCAGAACTCTAAACCAGGGGACTGCTTCTACGGTTCCTACGGCGCCAAGATTTGAAGGCGGATTCGCCGAGATACGCTGAAAATTATTATAACGGAACACTTTACCATTGGGTGATTCCTAACCTTTTCATCTTCACGATTTTAGAGATAGTAAAGGTGAAAAACTAGAAAAATTGTTGGTTTAGGTATCTTTTTTTTAACCTTCGGAGCTGAACCAGGTCCTGTGAAAGCACTTCTGAAAGAGAGTTAACAAAAATAATCCCTTCTACCTAAAGAAGTCGACCAGCTATTATATTGGATTCATGATCATTACAGCCCTTCAAAGTCCACTGGTGAACATAGGCCTCCCCCAAGGAACGCCACAAAGCACTGTCCTGAGCCACCTGCATCCATCGACTTCCTACATATCTTACCAGGTCGTCACTCCATCTAGTTGGGGGTCACCCTACACTTCGCCTGCGGGTACCTACAAGGCGGTCACTCGAGAACCTTTTTTCCCCATCGGTTATCGGTTCTTCGAGCTATATGGCCGGCCCATTGTCACATCAGCTTACTAACCTGTTGGGCTATGTAGTCACTCTGGTTCTACTGCGGATATCCTCATTACTAAGTTTATCACGCAGAGAAACCCCGAGCATAGCCCTCTCCATAGCTCGCTAATCCTCGAATCCGGCAACTTGTTCTATCACCGGGAGGGCGACCATCTGCCTCAAGGAGGTGGCCACTAGTCTCCCGTCAACAACGTTGTAAAGATTGGGAGTTTGTCGACGAGGGGTGCGTACCTGATACTCAGAATCACCAAACGGTATTCGCTGAAGGCCTGTATGGTTTGCGCAACAACGTCGGCACATCCCGATTAGGAGGTAGAGAAAATGTATGATATCTCTAGAGCCATGCTTCCTCCAAAACCCACTATTACGGTGTTGATGGGAGACTTCAACGCAAAATTAGGCACAAGAAAAGGCGGTAAGCTGAAGGTAGGGAAATTTAGAATAGAGCAACGAAACCCAAGGGGCCAGCAGCTGGCCGACTTCATGGTGGAAGAGGGACTCTTTATTATGAACTCTTTCTTCCAAAAGCAGCCCCACAGGAAGCTGGTCGAGCCCCGATGGTTCTACAAAAAATGAGATTGATTTCATTATGACGATCAGACACAACAACTGTTCAGTGATGTCTCAGTGATCGCAAGGGTGAAAACTGGCAGCGATCACCGAATGGTTAGAGGCACGCTAAACCTAAACGTTAAGTTGAACAGGTCCCGTCTAATGAAATCAACGGTCTATTTGCCTCGTGCGCTAATCCAGGGTTCCGAAGACTTTCGGTCGAATTACAACTGTTTTCAGTGCATGCAATACAGTGGAAGATATTAACGACAAGTTCGAGGAAACTGTCCATGCGATCACAGCTAAGCCCCGTCGCAGAAGAACACCCTCCGATCACACTTTTAATCTCATGGCTGTTAGACGGGAAATGAAGCTGCAGTCTTCAGCAAATTTGACAGCATACAGGCAACCGAACAGACAGATCTCCAAATACATACGGCGCAACTTCAATACAGCTCGTATTGAAGAAGAGTTCGAGCGGAACCAGGGCTCAAGTCTTTGCCAGCGACCTGTCTGCTACAAAGAGCCAACTGTCGAAGCTGAAGACCATCGTTTCCAGGACACCTGAGATATTGAGTGAGATTGAAAGGTTCTATAGGCAGCGACGTACGCAACACTCGTCGACACACTCCCAATCTTTACAACCTCGTTGACGAGACTTGTGGACACCTCCTGGGACAGATGGTCGCGCTCCCGGTGATAGAACTAGATGCCGGGTTGGAGGACCAATGTGTCCCCCACCTCTCTTCGGACCTCGGATAATCCTACATGTCAACGCAACTTGTCTACCTCTTCTTCAAGCTCCAGGATCTTCCCGTCAGTCCTCAGGGTGTGTGCGTTATATGTTGCCAGGTTGAGTCGTTTTAGGTGGCAACCGAACCTCCACCGGAGATTCTTAACACTCCCTGCCCCGCCGTTACCACGGTCGCCACCGTAGCAAGGAATAGCGAGGTCGCCGGAGACTAGGAGCCGTTTGTTTGTGTCGTTGCTTATGGGGAGATGTTTGCCATAGTTGCCACGCTTGGCGAGCGGGTTGGCAACCGCAATTTTTTATTGTACAATTACTGTTATCAGAAAGATGTTGCTGCCCATCTTCTGCCTGTCTCCCTCTACGGCCTCTTACGACACCTACGGGAAGATATGGGGTAGTGGATATTCTCAACCGCCACTACACGGCCTATATACATATATACGAATCATAGAAATAATAGAGAAAATTCAGAACAACAAATTTAATCATATTACCTCAATAGAACACATTAAATAGCATACACAGTTTTAGTGAATTATAATTAAAATTATGCTTGCAGGAGATATTGTGCATCAAAACATTTTACTTATTGAAAAACAAACAATTAAACTAATTTCTATATACCTATTTTCATATGTAGATACTAAATGCTTAAGACAACTGTTATGACATGTTAATACTTTCGGGAAAAATATTGTAATACTTCATATGAGATTTCCTTGTATACAATAATTAGGAAACGCCTACCGATTTGGATAAATTTTTTGTAAAATTTAATAATATTTTACTTTCAAAGTTGTATCTAAAATCGGTGTCATGACTGATAATTACTTCATCTGTAATACCAAGTGAAACTCGGTCGCCGGTACTGTATATAAGTTAAGAAATATTGCAAACAAGATTCAAAAACATGAGAAATGATATCTTTAAGCAAAATCTTATGAATTCATGACAAGGTAACAACTGTAACACTATTCTGTGTTACCGCAATGGTATGTTCATATTTAAATTTGTTTGTTTTTCTCAAATAAATAAAAATATTTGGCTTCAGAGCCAAGACGATATTTAAGATTTACTCCTGCAAGGGTTGTCTTCAGTAAGAAAAAATAATTTACATTTATGTCAATCACATTTTAAAAACAACAGTCTATCAGCGTTCTAAGGATCGTGTTTTGGTTTCTAGATATACATTGGGTGTAATTTTTAAAACATATGTAATATATTAACATTTATTTATTACAAAACGTAAATGATGGTTTCTTCTTCAGTCCATAGAAAATAATATATTACTTTTCCTTTAATGGTAACATTTTAATATTTATCTCATAAAATACCAAGAAACAATGTAATATTTTAGCAATATGATATAATAAATAATTTTCTAAAATATATTGATTACATCGCAATCCACTTTTGGAAATTTCCATTAAATTGCAACATCAATGTATTTTTACCATATTACAATAATAATAAAAGTCAAGTTCAAAAGTTGTAATTATATATTAAGTAAATAAATTATAATAAATTGTTAAATATTATATACTTGGGATTATTAATGCTGCCAGATCAGAATTAAATATTTAACTATAGCTTTATATACTCACTGCACAATAGCGTATTATATTTATATTTAAGTTAAATTAATTATTTCTAGTAACTTCTGCAATTTTTCTATCTCTGTATTCAATCGTTCTTCTTGTCACAGGGTTCTTGATGTTCACTTTGAGTTATAGCTAAATTGCCATTGTCAGCTTCTTTTTTCTGTTGCTCCATTTCTCCAGAAAATCCAAATTCATTGACGCGTTTATGATCAACTTTGTAAATCCAGCGTTGATATAAGAAAATGAAAAATACAATATCTGAAACAAAGAATGAAAATTACTTGTTTTGTTTTACAACAATAATTTATTGAAACATCCTGTGAAACTTACCATCTCTAAAACAGCCTAAACGATACATTGTTGGCATTTTAATTACAAATGCGAATATGTCGTCAATGAATGTATTGAGGAATTTGTATGTCATCATGCGCCAAGGCAAATGTGCAACCGACTTTAATTTGTAGTTAATGAATAACTGAGGCGTCATCATAATAAATCCAAAGGTCAATAAGTAACCATACATCATGTTCAGAACGAAGGAGTACCATCCCTTATGCTCCTGGTACAATAAAGAGTAGACACCGTACCCAATCAAAAGAGGAAAGCAGGCCCAACTGAGATACCGGAAAGCTAAGGTGTCGTATTCTCTAGTACTAGATTCCACATAGGAACCTTTATCTTTGAAAGTCAATGTAGGAATTCCAAATATTCGCTTCTCTCTATTTATCTTGACATCCATTACCTTGTTAATTTTCCAAATTTCTATCATTAAGCCAATGAAGCAAGAAATACGAACCATAACATTCGTCTCATTGTCGAGAACATAAAGTAACACAACGGTTGATTGAAAAACATTAAAGAATACTGATCTTACAGACAGTCCTTCCAGCGACTGTCTATTATTCCAGAATTGGATATCATTCTTGAAAGCCAGCAATTCAAATATAGAATGAAGTACTGACACAGATATTGTCAATGCCAGTAAATATGGCGATGTATCCAAGAGTAATTCTTTTACAGTGTCTTGTTCTTCGTCCTGTTCTTCAGCACCCAATGCTGAGAAAACACTAAGTTTATCTCGCATTGCTTGGGCAGTGTACAATTGCCACTTAAAAAGACTTAAAGGTTGATAAGTCAATTGTAACGTAAGTTTGGTTGTAGTTTTGTTTATAGGAACATAGTCACGCATCATGTTCCAATAATCATTCAGGAACACTGCTGGTTTGTATGTTTTACCATCCGGCAAAAAGTAAATAAATTCATCGAGGGGTGGTGGCACACTACCCTGCATCCAGTTAGTTTGATCAGTAACAAGATTGATAGTCAAATTGGGATGCCAATGGGATACTATTTCTTCCTTTAATGTCTCAGCTTTTTTAACTTCTTCTTCTGATTTTTCTGTCTGTCCAGTTAAAAGATTATGCGTTTTTTGATATCGCAACTTTTTGTATTTGTTTAACATTTTTTTACCATATGTTATATGGGAACCAGCATAGTTGCTCCTATCTTTAGGATCTGGTGATTTTCCTGATGGAACTATATATGTGTGGAGATAAATGGAGCCATTATTTAATAATGTTTTTGTAGGCACAATTTCTGTAGAATATGTGTATGTGCCATCTCCGTTGGGACCTCCATACCAGTCACCATAAATTAAACCAGCCTGCTTCCATATGAATTGAGAGTCATTAAAATTTCCTAAGAATTCTTTATCAGATATGTAACAATACATGTCCAATACTGTCCCATTAGAAAACATATTCACTGCTGGTACACGCGATGTTCCAGAAGGATTGTGGACATCAGCAGGTTTAGGCGGTGACGCCGGTCGAAACATAGATGTAATAAAATAAATTACTAAAGCTCTTATAATAAGAGATTTGGTTATAGCAAAAAAAGACTCCAGTTTCGTTGGTTGCATGCGACGACGTTGCTCATCTACTTGTGCGTTAAACTGAAAACATATTTAAAAAAAATCCTTATAAATATTACTTCCTTATAATCACAGAATTTTATATCTCATATTAGATTTTTATTTATGTAATTAGGTGGTACCTGTAGTATGAAAAAATAATTGTGGAAATATCGTTTTAAATTTGGAAGTTATATTGTTTAATTAGGAATAATAATGCATCACGGAAATTGAATGATACATAACTAAAGTTGGTAGAAACTACTTCACCTATCCGCTCAACGAAATAAAATGATGTGTCTTAACTAGTATAAACAGCACTTCCCGCCCTCCCTCACTATCCCAGCACCACTCCTCCTAACACCACCATCGACGATAATACGACACGTGTTTTGCCACCACACGAGGCATCCACAAGTGAAGTAGTCTCTGCGGTGGCTGAAGGCTAAGTGAGCGGCGAGCCGAAACTGTTGCTATTTATACAGCTCGCTGACGCAACCACTCCCCAATTAAGTAGCGAGCGAGCGCGTCATGCAATAAAACATGCGACCAATTATCTGACGTACACTGTCGTTTGCTGTAAAAATAAATAAGAAACCGCCGCGAAACGCCCGCCTACCCTCCAACCACGCAACATAAATATATAATATATAAAAGAGAGCAGGCTTAAAGATGTTTAATAGAGGTTAGTTAGAAACATTTGTTTGTTCATTCAGCTGTGCAACGTTACTATTATTCTTTTTTAATATCTCTAACTGTTCCAGCAGCCGTTTATTACAAGTATGTAAGACTTTTAAGGAGTAATTGTTAGCTAGGTTGTGTCCAGTGTCTAAGAGATGTTTAGCAAAATGATGAAAGAATACTCTCTAATAACCGACAGCCTCGCAATATGGTCATTCATCACCCTCACGGTGAACAGCGACTGGTTGCGTGGTTGGAGTGTAGGCGGGCGGTTTTTATTTATTATTAAGGGAAAAGGTTCCCGGCGGTTTCTTATTTATTATTTTTACAGAAAACGGCTGCATACGTTAGGTGGTGACCGGTCGCATGACACGCTCACTCGCTACTTAAGTGGGGAGTAATTGCGTCATCGAGCAAAAATAATAAATAGCAGCTGTTTTGGCTCGCCGCTCACTGTCAGCCACCGTAGAGTCTACATCACCTGAGGATGTCTCGTGTAAAGCCGAAACACGTGTCGTATTATCGTCGATGGTGTGTCTTTCCTAATGTAGTGGTGTTAAGTGTAGTGGTGCTGGAATTCGTGGTGACGGAGATAGTGCACGCAATTGAGGGAGGGCGGTAGGTGCTCTACAAACTATAGTCAACCAAATCTAAGAAATACCTTTTGACGTTTCACATTAATCATTTAAAAATAACTTTGCACAAACGTACTCATACGATTTACAATAACCTTTTACCTAAATCCGAAGAATAATGAAGTTATCTATATTTAAATACAACGTGTTCGTTTTTTATCGCTGATTTAAACTCGAATCTTTCAAACAAAGCAAAATATTAAAAAAAATAACCAGTATCAACTTTTTTTACTTGACGTCGTTTCAATGATATGTCGCTATGTGTCTTACCGTAGTGTTTGGATGATTTTAATGCATTGATATGCAAATAATCGGTAAAAAGATTCAAATAATCGTTAAAAATAGTCAAATAATCGAATCATTAACTTTTTTAATATTTTATTTCTTTTATTTAAAAAAAAATACATGAATCATGAATAAAACAAGTTTATTTTTTTTACTTTGTCAACGTAAAGGTCAATGGCAAACTCCCAAATAAATTTTGGTTGACTTTTTTTCTTGCGTCTTCAAATTCGCACCTTCATTTCGAAACAGTTACTAAACGAATTTTTCACGAAATTTAGATAATGACGTCATCTTACTGAAATCGGTAAAATCTACAGAACGAATTTGACAGGTCTATTTACTTCCCAATATTTTGGTAGATGGTGTCAAATTAAAACGTCACTAAACTGAAATTTAAAACATAAATAAAGACGAAACCTTTACTATAACAGTTGTCACCTGTCACTTGGTTGGTTGGTTTAATTGTCATAAAAGTACAATTTTAAGTTATTTTTTTTAAATAAATATTAATTTAAATTATTATGTTTTAATTGAAGTTTGCCTAAAATACTTTCGAAACATATTTTAACAGTTCATATAATAGCTAGAATTCGATTTTTAATATAGTAATATTGTTCTTATACTAACTTTACTTAATTCAATCCTAATTGAAAAAATAATTAATGCAAAAGTGTTATTATAAAAATTAAAAAGATTCTAAAAATTCATTATAGAAGATATTAAATCAAAATGTAGTCATTTTACACACCACACCTAATGAAACCAATAATTTAACAAATAAACTCAGAAATATTCCGTAATGTGTTCATTACTTTCTTATTAAGAGGTAAACAGTAATGCAAAAATAGTAAATTAGCTCTCCTGTAAACTTTAGTTTTTTGTTTTTAACGGTGAAATGAAGGTGGTAAATGCATTAAAAATGTACTTTAAAATCCTGAACATTTTTTCTTCGGTCATATTACTGCAGGAAGCCAGGAATTAAAGATATTCCAGTTTAAGCCAAATACACATCAGACTAGGATGTATGGTATGAAACACCTTATTGGCAAATCGTTACAACAACTAGTCAATATAATTTTCATGTGTTATGTTAATATAGGGTAGTTACTAAAATAAAGGGAATCTTTAAAGAACGCATTGGTATATATAGAAGATTGGTATATATAGAGTTTTCTGAATAAAATACACGTCAAACTCGGCTGTATGTTATAAGACCTTTGTCTGTCTTAACTGACGAATCGTAACGACTACAACTACTAGTCAATTAGGTTTTGAATTGTGTATGATTATTTTTTCTATAGCCCATAAGCTTGATTAGATAATACATAGTAAATTATTTTATTGATATCTGTAATGATGACTTAAGTAGACGTTTAATAATTCCATCACCTATTGTTTCGCCAATGTCCTTTGTGTAGGCAAAAAAAGTCTTAGACAAGGCCGCGCTGAAAAAACCACTACGTAATTTCAATTTCCCGCCATTTCGGAAGCTTACTGTGCGTAATTTTCTGTTTGTCTTCTTATTTTGTGACTTGGCTTTAATTTTTTTTTTACTCTTTCTTCTATATTCGTTGAAGCACGTGTCCATGTCAAAAACGATGATTGGACAAAAGTGGTAGAAAAAACAAAAAAAAGTTTATGGATGACTGAGAGATATTAATTTTGACTGCATTATTGAAAATCAAATAATAATTAATCTAAACAACGACAGCTCAAGTCGTTGTACTGAGTGATTGAATAAATTTATTTTTAATCTAGTTTCAATCTAAATTTTTTATAATGTGCCTCTAGAAATAAGCAATTACAACCAATACGAAGAGGCTGATAAATCTTGTGTTTTAAATTATCCGTTTTTAATTTATTCTGGTATTATTCAAATCAAACTATAAATGATTACCAACTCTAAATAATCGATATCGATTTTTTTAAGAATCGAATATAGTATGTTCCCAGTTTTTGGTTGGCATGCTTGTAAGGACAGCTGTCAAAATGTATTTTTTAGATTTGGTTGACTATAGTTGAGACACATCATTTTATTTAATTGAGTGGATATGGGCGAAGAAATTCCTACCAACTTTAATATAATGGATTTTCGAAAAGTAACGCCTGATTCTGTTAATTATGATATATAACTTTCAAATAAATTGTCGGTATGAAACGCGCGCCACCTAGTGTAAGTTAATTGCACTATGCCTACACCCTTCGTGCTCGTGCAAGCAATAAGTTGACAAAGTTTTACCGCAATCTGGTTAAACTGTATGACAGTGCATAAAATACGAACAGACAAACATTAATTTTATATATTAGATTCATAATATATTCGACCTGGTATAAGACATTCAGGAGGTCGATGGATGCTGGTGGCTCAGGACCGTGTTTCATATCTTTTTTCAAGATTTCATTTTTGGGAGGCCTATGTTTAACAATGGACTTGAGAGTTACTGTAGTGTGTGTGGTAAGAAGCGATATGGGAAATGTGAGAAAAATCTTATGACTTACGATAGACGTGTGATATAACCATTTCGTTTACGCCAGACGTAAGATATCCGTATGGCAACGGGCAGCAACGTCAAAGGTCCGACACTGCGGTGAAGCGGGACAATTAAGACAAATTCTAACAAATTCTGCAAAACTGCCCGCCCGTGTCCAGCAGTGAACTTTTACAGGATGAGATGAGGAGTAAGCAGAAGATACAGTCCACATATTTTCCCAACTTTATGTTTAATTTAATAAAACTTAACATTTGTAATTGTTATAAAAATCCTAACATTAATAGATTTTTATCAAATAATATAAAATAAATCTATCTTCAAGTTTTAATTAATAGTTGCTAGTTGCAATAGCAGACTTGTATTACCATATAGCCTAAGAGCCCACGATGGCCAGACCATCGTTATTTTATAAAAGCTGAAAGTTTTTCTGTGCATGTTGCCAGGTAGGTTGTGGTTACTTGGGCGGGTAGCAGGTAGTAAAGGTGTATAAAATGGTACCTTAAATTTGTTTTAAAGTAAGTTTTTTATATTTTCTTCGGGATAACTAGAAATCTCGTCATCCATTGCCAGACACTTACGACAGTTGCTACCCCTGCCAGTCACCCCTAAACTTTAATAAATTATAATTATACTTTCGTTATGTTATAAAAGCTAAATTTAATTTATTTAATACTTGAGGCCCTATAAAAATAATTTACCTCAATAGACAGTTTTAATGGTTCTTAAATCTTGCCAGACACATTGAACAACTATTAAACCACTTGAAATAGCTCAAAGAGCCATTCTTAAAGTAAGCACTTTTCGCACCTATTTGTTTCCTACCTACCTCCTGTATCAATCTTGTGAAGTCCTCTCAGTTCGCCAACTGTTCATCCTGCTTACTATTATGAAACAACACTCAAGCTCTGATACATTCGCCATTTCCAAGCGCCGCAGAGATATAACTTTC